GATTGCTGGAAGTCTATTAGGATCGAATCGATATATTCGTCAGTTGGTCTTCGCCACGCGTCGTGTCAAAGTTCGTTGACTTTACGCTGTTGTGCAATGATTAATTGTGCGTTTCTACGTACCGAGAACAAGGCACGTGGCCTGGGAGTCACCTATACGAGATAATTGACGTCCCCTTGATTGCTATACGTTTGTTTCTTTTAATGGAAACCGGTACAAATTGTACCGATGGGGAAAAAATAGTAAAACAGAACGTCGTTCAGAAATTTAAAAGTCGCGCGTAATTTTATATCGAGACTGTATAATTAAAGGGCGAACATTTAATTACTAAAAGTAATTTTTGCAAAATGAAATCATTTTACAATCTTCAGATGATAAACTATATTTAGGAGGAAAGTCACAGAAATATTCAATATTTTTTATGATCCCAAATATGACCGCAATTGTAATTACAATAACCCAAAATTTTTGGACACTAACGTCCAAGGATATCAATTAATAACAAATCAGTCAATTGCAAAAAATTGACGTATTCTCGTACTTTTTATTTAACTCCAATTTTCTCCAATAACTGTCCCTCCGACTTTCTCGTCGCCACGTTGTCGCCAAAAAAGCAACATGCCCCTGATTGTGGTGCCGCTTAATCTGTGACACGTATGTGTTCTCCAGCAGGTGACGTATCCGGTAATTGTACGTTGCATGATGGTGCTTTGGCTGGTTGGCCTAACGTTGACAAGCCTACCACTTCTGGGTTTTGGCGTGTACTACAAAGGCGAACGATGCGTTCGTTACAGAGAAGCTACCGAGCCAGCAGACATCGCTTACGCCTACGTCTGGTTCGTTGCTGGTGAGTATAGACCATTATCAGAACTGATAAATTCTTATATACCCTTCGACGATTACTTAAAGAACCTTAGAAAGTGATTTGAAGAAAAGAGTGTTAAAAAAAAATGACATTATTCAATATCAGCACTCGATAATTGACACTCGAAGGATGACAGTAATCTACTAAAAAAAACTTGCACTTTCTAATATTCCTTGAAACTTTCTACACGTGGTTATCAAGTTTTAAGACAATTTTTAGATCGAATTTACGTCCACCGTAAAACAGTTTAATCGTCCCTTTAAATCGCAGGTACGGGCCTCTGCCTGTCGATAGTTTGGTGCAACTTGGCGGTTTCCAGAGCACTTAGCAGACTAAATCGCAAGGCCGGTCTTCGACGAGTAACGAGATCATCCTCAAGAGCGAAACCGCTTTTAACAGTTGCCGGACCACCGCCGGAAGTCGTCACCACCGCCGAGGAAAGGGCGTTCGCGAGATTGATGGCTGTGCTGTCAATATCGTTCGTTGTCTGCTGGATGCCACAAATGGTAAGCAATCGATCGTGGAAGTAATTGATTAAATTAATTCTTCATTGCCTGTACGCCGTCGCCAATTAAACGACGGTTGTGCTTGTTTTTGGCGAGCTAATTAGAATTCGTAAAATGCGCAACCTTCGAGTCCTTCCGCTTTTAATCGCTTCGAATAGATTCCGTTACATCGTGTCCAGAAGGTAATAGACAAACATATCTAATAACGTATTATTTCTTTTACATTACAATTCAATTTGTAGATAGAATAATTCGTACTAATAAATTCAATTAAATTATCCAGAGGAAAAATTGGAAAAGCGAAGTTGTGCGATGTTTAATTTCAATATTTATGCATTTTATAATTATTTTTTTTTTAGAGGATTTTGTTGATTTTAAATTGTTTTCATTTTATACATTTGTGCGTAATATTAGAGAATTATTATTAATCATTGACGAGACATTTTGGCAACGAGCCGTACGGAAGGAAAGTCTCTAGGAAAAAAGAGCTTCCGGTTACTCTCTTTTATAGGACGCTACGGCGTTTACGTGACACGATTGCTGAATATCTCTTCGATGATAATATTTGCTTTTACGCCGTCGAAACATCGATAAAATTTGCGGTCGTGTCGGCCGTGACGGAAATTTTAAAGTGAACCAATATTTTTCAATCTGCCCCGTGCACCCCTCCTTGGAGTGTCTCGATCTAAGTACCGATAGTCTTAAATTAGGCGACGTTTAACATCTATACCGCTAAACTTTCTAATACAGTTGACATTAAATTAATTTTTCATAAATGCGTAAAATATGGTAAGTATAATACACCAATGAAAGTGTCTTTTCCGCGGTTTAAGTATTTCTTCCAAGTCTTCGAATGCACCAAAGCGAGTTTCACTTTCATTCAGAAATTTTCTAAACCTTGCAATAAATTCACAGATCCATTCAAGACGATTCTTTTCGATATTACTCGTAACATCCGTAAGGAATAAATGAAAGTTATTTTCTCTGAAGCAGGTAATGTTAATCTTTTGTAGGACACTGGTGTATTAATTAGAATGGAGCGTCGGCTGGCGAATTGGGGTAGGAAAATTCGTGTCATTCCAAGGGAATCATTGTCGTCTCTCGAGGCTTTCGCATTCCTGAATTTTTAATCGAACATAATCAAGACACATCCTGCCGGCAGGAATACAATCGCATCGAACAATGCACTCGGTTGTACGGTGATTGCATACACACGAGCATTCCGTATTTCCATCTCCTTATCCGCTCGTCATCTTATTTCACCATTTTCTCCACGCTCCACGCGAGTTTCCCCCGTGTACAATCCGCGATCTTGCGATTCCCACGTTAAGATTACTCTTCCGAATGAAAAAGCAAATTATCCCTGGATTTTTCGTCGCGTATGGTTTCTCGACAAGCGTCGAAATCAGTTTAAAATCTCACACGCGCCTGTATCGTCGACTTAATGTAACGATTTCCTCGCGTAAAATTGCAAACGTGACGCACTTCCGGTGGCCAGGACGAAGGTCAAACTTGACGAATTAGTTTGGAATATCCTCACGTACGATCCATCGCGAACGATTCATCGTGAACGATCGATCTTCGCAATGCGAACGATGTTGTTTTTACGCCGCGAACAAAACCGGACGTGGAGCGATTTAGAGAAAACGTCTAGGAAAGTTTTCCACAACGTCTGCCGTCGAGCGACGTATATTTCTGTCGTTGACCCGAACCGCGTGGGTTTATGTTGATTCTGTCGTAAGGACCGTGCAATTATTTTTAGCGAACTTACCTTACGATTTAATTGTAAGTGTACAGTACAAGGGTGGTTATTGTGACAGATAACGGAAGGCTTTGTTCTCTTCAATTTCTAGGAATGACACGTCTGCTAATTAAATGGGTTTATGTAACTCTTTGTCGTATCGGAGATATTTCTGTGATATTCTCAGTAACAGCTAATTTGTTGCACGATACACCGATCTAATATGAGTTTTCCTACAGTTTTTCAAACACAGATTTTGAAATGAATTGTTAGTCAACGTTGCGATATCATTTTAATACAAAAATTCTCATTTCCTGGATAAGTGTCTCAGAAGTCACATTTTCCTTGTAAAAAAAAAGATAGGGAAAGTTGAAAAAAAGTGGAACTGAATCAAGATTTTTGGAAGAGTTCAAACTTATGAAAGCTAATTTTGAAGTTTTCTCGAAACTAACGAATTTGAGGTTTTTCCGTTTCCAGCGCCAAGATGAAGATATACGACGATTCGTGAGATTCGTTTATTAGAATTTAAGTGGCACAGTGGAGAGTGTTGGTCAACGTAATTTATCGCTCTGTTGTTTATATAGATTTCCATTCCATTGGCCCAGTTCACGATTCAATTACCTCAGAAGGCACTGTTCGCGCGAAAACTGATTCGCATGTTTCACCTGGCGGCCGATGTACTCCTTTGTATTCACTTCACCCTGGATCCGTACATCTACGTTCTACTGAGAATGCCACGGCCGAGATTCCGCCTTTTGAAACCCCTCTGCAAGATCTGTTGGCCAGCCAGAAGCCGGTCGAGTTCGTTCAATGGTGAGTCTCATCAAAACGACACGCAAATTACGTATTACATTGAAGACGTAGAAGTAATCAATCAACAGGTCACGTGAAAATTTCAGATATTTCTTGCAACAGCAACTGTTCGTGTGCACTGTCGCTCATAAGTACTTGCACTGTTTATTCACGATTTTCTTTGTTTCAATAAGCGACTTAACATTTATTCTTCGTTTAACGTGGTATCAAGGATTTAACTTGTTTTCTAACCCTTATTTGAAAACATTAGAAAAACATTCTTTTGAAAGATTCATGATACAGAGAAAATGTATCATTTAACATTGTACCAAGAATTTAACTCGTCTTGTAACCCTTATTTGACAAAATTTAAAAGAAATTCTTTTGAAAAATTTACGATACAGAGAAAATAGTGTTAGAACAAAGAGAAAAAGAATAGATGAACGATAGTGTCTCAGACGTTAATGTCTTATTATTGGGGGCTTAATTGTATTTTGCAATAACGTTCTTTCGAATAAAGTGGAGATATAACCAGTCGTCATTTCGTGACTCATTTTGCACACTAAAATTAACCCTTTTAAATTAATCTCACTAATTCGCCGTGGAAAGTTCGAGCGACTAAAAAAATCGAAGGGAATTGGTTGACAAAGTGAAACTGAATCATCGTCCTATCTGTTTACCTTGAGAAGTCCATAAAGTATTGTAGTGTGGCTGTTCGATTGTACGTACAACGGGAAATTTAAGGATCCATAAAGAGAGGCTATAGAGGAGACTTACCAGTTTATCTTTCAATGATCTCCTCGTTGCCTGGGTAATAAATAGGGGACTTTCACGTATAATCTTTGAAATTGAAACGAGTCTTAAAGACAATTTCAATCTAAATTTACGCTCGTCTAAAAGTGTTCGTGTGCTAACTTAACACGCATACTTTATTATTTTCTAATCAAGATAATCTATTCTGCTCATCGATACAATTTCCGTATAATCCTACTCTACACTCTTTTAATCAATGTAATCTACGAACTTATCTATCATCTTCAGTTTAATACAATTCATAATCGCTGTTACTGACAAAAATGTGTGTGTGTTTTTTTTTATCAAACATAGTATTACAAAGCTAATTAATAACAATTATATTTTAGAAATACGAAGTGCTATTGCGTCTAATTTGTACAGAAATTTGTTCACTCACTTTGAAAAATAAACAAATTTTATTCGTTATTTAAACACAGCGAAACATTTATATCGATGCGAGGTTCCTCTCTCTGCATCTGATAGTGCCTCGTTCGAAATGGGAAATTCTATATTACACAGTTTACAGTCTAGACACTGCTCCTTTCAACTTCCACTTGTTTCGATCAACACAACGCATTTTATTCGATACACGTCTGGAAAATAAAGTTGAACGCTTTATAGCCTCGAAGCAAATATTTTTCGTACCCAGAAAGTGACAAAAGATCGTACATGTTCCAAAGTAAAAAAATTGCATTGAAATATTTAATTACAGAAGCATATCAATATCGCACGACGATACCCTAATCTCCCTTTGCACATATTTTGCACGAGCATTAAATAGAAGAATAATGTTTTTCACCACCAGTACCACGAAACGTGTTAAAAACGAACATAATCTGATACATTAGCTCACCCAATAATTTCATATACCGTAGTTTAAATTAATATTTCAAACATCCCACTAACTTTCACGAAACAACGTAACAACCTACTCATTCCACAGCTTCTCAGAGCCATTAAGCTGTCCTCGTAAAATTTCTTTATCTTTCATCAAAATATCTTTCTGCGTTAGACACGAATTTATGGAATAACCTACTATGTCCAATACAAATAAAATAGCATTTCGTATCGCTAACATATAACTGCTGCTTATCATTTCTACGCTACTCCATCTGATTAAAAAAACACTTGCCAGGATAGTAACCTCCTAATTAGTATAGGTCTACGTTGATGATCCGTACGATTGAAATGGACTATGTTTCACCACCTGACAGGTACCACAGACCATCAGGGCAGCAGTGGTGATCCATCGACCCCGATCACAGAGGCACCCTCGACCCCCGTCAGCGAGGAGCACGATCCTCATTTAATGGCGGTGTCGGTCTGAGACAGGCTTCAGCGAATGATCTTCCTGAAACGGCTCAAGAGCCACGATGTTAGTCAGGTTTGAGCTTTGAACATCGGAAGATCTTCGCTTGTCACACGAGTACGATACTACGAAAATTTCATTTCATCGAATGAAAAAGAAACGAATGACCGGCAAACGGTGTTTGCCTGTGGATTTTGTGTTAATCGAACGACTGGAATTTTGAGGAAATTTTCTTTTTGTATTCGTCTAACTGTAAAAACTAACGTTCAGCGTATCTCAGACAGAGGTTTCAATGTTGGAACCTTCTTGTTCTGCGAGGAACCTTCAAGATTATGCGGTGAGATCGTTTAGGAGTAAATCAGGTGCGTTGAGATCGATACCTCGCTGATTTTTCGTGTACAATTTGCATCGAATGTTTGTGTTTCTTCTGTCTAGTTTTCTGCGTTACTGTACATGCTTCGTTTTACGGGTAACTGTATATTCATCGTCGTAACGTCAGGTATTCTTCAGTTTCTTCTAATCGACTATGTTTTTCTTAACAAGCACGACGTCTCATTTCGAAGCTTCATTACACGAAAATATGTCAGAAGTTGAGGTTCTTTTTTTTCTTTTTCTTGTTTTTACTTTTCTAAGTCGTCTCAAAGAAACGAGCGTACAGCATTCCGAACGAGTAATTTTGGCACGCAGTGCAAGTGTTGTTTAAACGGACGTACAATGCATTATGAACTTGTAAAGTTTCGAGATGTGAGAAATTCACACAACCCGGTACAATCTGGAAGACTCTACTCGTTTGCGGTTTGCAAGCGAGGACGAGTGTCGCTCGTTCGCAACGATCGTTCTTGTGAACCTGGGTACTGTTGTAAAAAATTGTTCGAATCGAAATCACGAAGAGAAGCGGAGGGAAGATTGTTCGTGTAAAATGGAAAAGTATTATAATCGAAAGAAAGGTAGTTGACGTGATCGAGAAGTAAGTTCTAAGTAAGTCAACGAGAAAGCATCGCAATGCAAGTTACGACACACACACTTCTATCACAGTTGCGTGAATGTATGTCTAGTCAATAAATTAATGTAAACGCACAGTAGTTACAAAATGAATGTAAAGAACGAACATTTACCAAAGTATTCAATAATCAAATGTATTTTCATCGTACAATGTACTTTCTTGAATAGAGTTTAAGAAAGAGAGAAGCACATATAAATATATATATGTATATTTTCTTGAAGATGTACACATATGAGAATACTTATCGTGTACAAATAGAGTAATCAGCAGTTTCGTGATGCATACTTAACAAACGTTACCGTAAGTTGTTAGTTTACCATAGCAGCCGGTGTAACTTATATAGTCGTAAATATTTTACCACCCTCTACTGTATCGATGTAATGATATTAATAAATTTTAATCACCTTTTTTTAATAAGTATGGAGGATTCTAATTTTACTTCCACCTTTACCTAAACAGGAAAATCATTTGTCAACTTCAAACGCAGAGTTGATCTACTTCTAACACCTAATAATCAATCTCCAACTATTTTCATGCTACTAAAATTTAAGATTTTATTCGACTGATGATCCAAATGAGCATTCGTCTGAATGTTTCAATCTCTATTCAAAAATAGGGAAAAAAATTATTGTCATGCTGCTAAAAGGAGGATGTTGAAAAAAGGCCAATTTTGGCATACGGCCAAAAATTTTACGGAATAAAAAATGTAATTGTCATTTTTCCCGAAAATGATGGTAAGAGTATGACCATACTTATAACTTAATATTCCGTCTTGTTCTCTTCGGATGATGGTCTGTTCGTAAATTAACCACTTAGAAACTCATATTGAGTATTATGTACAAAGACTGTTGTACATTAGTGTTTAATAAAAACCAGAAATAATGACAAATTAATCGAAACAAGGAATTCTTTGATGACACAATGAAACTGTAGCTCGCAGTGTCACGCTTCTCGTTTCATTTTTCTCCCAAGCTGAACTGATAAGCGACGTTCGTCGAGGCACTCGTTCGACTGCCTCGTAAACACCGACTGAGGACGAGTCGTCCTGCCCGATTTCTAATCGCTGTACGCTCGCAACTGTTCTGGGAAAAATTCTAGGCCTTGACTTCTTAGAACTCGTGATATTTCTTGCGTGCCAAACATAAGAAACGCGAACCTAAGTCGCTGTACGTACATCGAGCCAAACATAAAGCTAACTGTCCTTTTCAGAGTAAAACTATTGGAAAAATTCTAAGCCTTAACTTCTTAGAACGCGTGATATTTCTTGCGAGCCAAACATAAGAAATGCGAACCTAAGTCGCTGTACGTACATCGAGCCAAACATAAAGCTAACTGTCCTTTTCAGAGTAAAACTGTCGCGAGTTGCTCTCGAGAGTATCTCTCGCGAGAGGACACTGCGTCTGAGAGTGACTGTCTGCAAAAATGACAATTACATTTTTCGTTCCTTAGGATGCGTAGAATCATGCTGTAAAAAAATGTTTCGTTCCGGCCGTATGCCAAACTTGGCCATTTTTTAACATCCTCCTTTCAGATATTATTCGACTGATGATCAAAATGAGCATTCACCCGAATCTCCATTTAAAAATAGGCAGAAAACTATTTTCGTGCTGTTAAAATTTCCGATTTTTAAATTTAACATTCATCAAAATGTTCCATCTCAGTTTAAAAATGGGGGGAAAAGCTAATGCGATGAGCGAGGAAACAGCGAAATAACGACACCACTGGAAAGGAAGGAGTACATATAATACAAATATATTTTTTTTTACGTAGTTACGTATCTCTTGCCTCTAGACACTTAACAACATTAATCAATAACTTACGGGACGCGATCGTTGCTGAATACATGACACCTTTTTTTTTTATTTTATTGCACACTAGAAATATACCACAGATGCATTCGTACAATAGTATCAATCGCGATACGGCTGGCGTACTTTTCACATACCTTAAGTAGCTACAATAAATAATAATTCGATTCTTTAATTCCACGCTCGTCTCGATCCAACGACCTATCCCTTCGCTCGTACCTACGCCAGCTATTAATTAAAACACGAAGACGATCTTTCGAAATTTCACAAGAATTCTCCTAACTACGCTTGCGACACCAACGATCGTCCATTCTTTCGGTACGCAAAATAATCGCATCCTCGGAAAACGATCGTCACACTCCCACGTGACAGTTCGATCTCGTCGTTGCACACATGCACACGCGTCTCGACGTAGCCTACGAGAACTGCAGATACGATTGCACAGGTTTCGTGTCACGAGCGAAAGACGAACGCGATATCAAAGGCAAAGATTCGTCGTCACACGCAGCTCCTCCTCCCGCGCCTCCTTTCATTCATGTCTCTCCTCGAGTTTTTCACGCGATCAAGCGGCTCAATCGCACGCAATACACGTACATATATATACGTCTCGCTACGATAATAGAAATCACACCGATAAACAAAACATAAGCCCCGTACGCGGTCGACAATTTTCACCAGCGACTGATTTTTAACCATTCCTCTCGAGCGGTAGGCTTGTGAACAGCGAGTTATCACACGTACAGGTATGCCGACAGGTAGATATTATGTACACATCGAAAAAGTGTCTCTCTCACTGAAATATAACGTAACGACGATCGTCGAGAGTGAACTGCTGATCGTTTTCCTCAATCGAGCCGATCCAGGTGGAACTGAAGATTCTGATCTCTCTGATCTCTTTAAGTAAGAAGTATCGGTTGATCGACAATAATCTTTGTACAATTACTCGTTATTTCGTGGTTTGCTCTTCGACGTTACTCGATTCAGTCTTGAAGTACATCGAAATGTCGGCTCTTCCAGCAAAACGATGCAGCAATTTCACGATACTCGTTCAAATTGTCTCCTGTTTTCGTAAAAGTCCCAAAGTACGATACTCTTGAACACCTAATCTTCGCTCCGCGAGAGATCCAGAGTTCGTGAAACGAACGCGATCTCTCGAACGTCCGATTGAATATTTAGAAAGAGAGATATTCGAAGTTGTAAAGTGTCCTCGATCTTCGATGGAAACTAATCGTCGTGTGTAAATGATGAATATCTGAAGAATGCTACATCGTGGAACTGAATGGGACACGCGAGTGTCCCGTGCGAATAAAAGTGAATCCAACTGGGCGGAAAAATCAGAAAAGTTGGAGAATTGACGGTTCGATTAAACTTGGTCTCGCGTAAGACTATCCTGAAGAATCGATATCAATTAATTATTGTCAAACACGCTGTATGTTAATTACGTATGCTCCGCGAGCGTCGCTCGAAGTTGTAAAAAGGTCTGACGAGTCGCTCTCGAGGTTCAAGCGAATAAAACGCGCGGAGGGTGTATAAAGAGCTTAAGATCTATCCGAGAAATTACCCTGGACAAGGGAAACTATACAAATTGGCCTCTCGAATTTTCTACAATTAATACGAGACAACAGAACGATTTTCTCGAAGTAATTAGATCACGACGAAGCTTTAAGGAACCTGTTTCTCTTTCTTTTCTTACAATTAGTCGAATGCAAGCTCTCTCCCGCGATTCCAGTGTCACCCTTTCAACAATTTCATCCACGTACAACGATATTTTTTTATTTTTTTTTTATTTGCCGCAAACAAAGAAAGTAGGAAGACGAAAATTTTCTTATCAAACGCGCAGTCGATCCTTGTCTTCTCGTTCGACGATCGAACGACGTTCACTCGATCATTCATCCCCATCTTTTTTTTTCTCTCTTCGGGGTCAGATAAACTACAAGTCTCTCTCGATTAGCCAATAACAACGTCGTTTTATGATACACTTCAATTCCGAAGAATTGCCATAGTCTACTCTCATCCGTTCGAAAATTCGATAGAATTCCATTAAACTGAAACACGAACACGTTTAGTTGCGATCGATGAATTTGGTGATAAAACGAACAATGATAGTACACGTCAGTTCTCGAGCGTGTCGTATAATGATAAATTCGTTTTGGCACACTGATAATTCGTTTATCGCGAGCTTAGTGGGCTATCCGAAGCTCGGATTCGCGTTTTTTAATATTCTCACGAATAAGTGCGAGCTCACGTCGAATTGTAGTTAATATATTGGAAATTAACCGAGTACAAAAGTCGAATAATTCGTATTTGTCGCGCTAAAATCGAATGTTGAAATGCTCAATGTTGAGTATTGTCGAGATTTTGATTTCTACATTATTTCAACTTCTCGAAAATGAACAGCGAATTGTAAGTGAAGAAAAAGACGAATTATCGACGAAATCATTCGATTGGAGTAAGATAAGTACGAAGAATTTGATTTTTGTACAGAGTTAGCTCCTGAGAAGTCTAAAAACCACTCTGTTTTTAGCGTTTTAAAGTATTCTTA